TCGGAGAAAAGGTGGCGGAACTCAAACCTGGCCACGCCCTCATCAAACCCTAGGACCGCCCCTTTAGAGAACAGGAATGCAAGTAAAATTTGGGAGGGGCTATTTCCGGTGTGGGAGGGGCTATTTCCGGTGCGGCCGGCCCGGAAAAAGGTGCCGGAACGCGGTTCCGCCGCGTTCCGGCTGAAAAAAAGCCCTGGGGGCAACAATATTTTAACCATTGGTGTACATAGGACACCCCTTCGTTTGAGACATCACATATACACAGGTATCATTGGGTGCTATCTAACAAAATGAAATCCAATGGTGAAAAAAGTAGGGTTCTACATTTAGGCAAGAAAAACCAAATGCACAGGTACAGTATAGTATAGGGGGTACCTTGCTCAATAGTAGCAACTGTGAGAGGGATCTCGGAGTCCTAGTGGACAATCACTTAGATATGAGCCAATCGTGTGCTGCAGCCGCCAAAAAAGCCAACACAGTGCTAGGCTGCATTAACAGAGGGATAGAATCAAGATCACGTGAAGTGTTAATACCACTTTACAATGCCTTGGTAAGTCCACACTTGGAATACTGCATCCAGTTTTGGTCACCATGATGTAAAAAAGATGTTTAGACTCTAGAAAGAGTACAGAGAAGAGCAACAAAGATGATTAGGGGACTGGAGGCTAAAATATATAAGGAACGGTTGCTGGAATTGGGTATGTCTAGTTTAATGAAGAGAAGGACGAGGGGGGACATGATAGCAGTCTTCCAATGTCTCAGGGGCTGCCACAAAGAAGAGGGGGTCAAGCTATTCTCCAAAGCACCTGAAGGCAGGACAAGAAGCAACGGATGGAAACTAACCAAAGAGAGAAGCAACCTAGAACTAAGGAGAAACTTCCTGACAGTTAGAACAATCAATCAGTGGAACAACCTGCCTCCAGAAGCTGTGATTTCTCCAACACTGGAAGTTTTTAAGAAGAGACTGGACAGCCATTTGTCTGAAATGGTATAGGGTTTCCTGTCTGAGCAGGGGGTTGGACTAAATAAATACGAGACCTATGATGGGTTGTTGTTCCAGTAAACCATTAACGGTAATAAGAAACAAAACCAGATGGTAAGAAAAGGTGCAGATTGCAATCTTGATTTTAAGATGCTTCTTTTAGCAGGCTTCACATGCAAGAGACCCAATTTCCATCTGAATGCCTCCTCGCAGAAGTGTCAGGCAAGCCTGTTAATTTACATGAATTTGCCATCAATTGCAGCTATTTTCATTTGCATAATGGCATTCGATGGATGACACCGATGGATCCAAATGACATAAATCACCACCAACACTTTGTAATGTAATAAACATTTGGCAGTAATGGAATCTTTTCTCTCCCCAACTGGTCCATTAAGAAGGTTTCACTCCACTGAAATTGAAGTGGAAAGAGAAATAGCGCGAATGTTATTATTTCCTTTGAAAATGCTGCCTGTTTTTTTTTTTTTTTAAAGAGATGGGGGAAATGTGCTAAATTCTATCAGGATGGTTTTCTCAAATCATGGAGGGCCCTCCAAATGTCTTTGGAGTGAACTTCATCAATCTAAATCAGGGTCTATATAAAGCTATGAAGACGGCACCATCTGGAGGTCCATCTGCTACCCATTCAGATGTTTCCCTGTCCATGTTGAACGGAACAGTAGCGTAGCAATGTTCATCTCCTAGTGTCTGAGATATTTTGACATCTGGTTTTCCTACCTGCTTCTACCATGACAGCCAGTGACCAAAAGAAGAGAGAACTAAGAGCTGTCATCTGAGATACTTGGAGAACACCACGTTGCCTTGGCCTGAGTTTTTACATTGCCAAGATCACTACATTTGAAGTTCCCAAGTTTAATAACACAGCACAAAAAAATCCATATGCAGAATTATGTGCCACAAACAACAATGCCTCTTAAAAATAACCACCCCATTTCGATTTTCACACAGCTTAAACAATTTGTTTGTTATTTTTATGTGAGTGCACACATTAAGATTTTAGGTCAGGTTATGAATGCGAGAAATGTAATACACACAAACGGCACTAGTGGAATATGCAGAAAAAAAGAACCGGAAGCCTCTAAGGGCCCAACTCCCCTATTCCTGGGGCAGGGGTAGGCAACCTTGACTCTTTTATGACTGGTGGACTTCAACTCCCAGAATTCCTGAGCCAGCCATGCTGAGGGGAAAGGAAGAGGTTTCCAAGCTGACCCATGCTGGCTCAGGATTTCTGGGAGTTGAAGTCCACGAGTCATAAAAGAGCCAAGTTTGTCTACCTCTGCCCTGGGGCTATCAGGGTTAAACGTTTGAGGCAGACATCCACAGTTCACTACATAAAATAAGCAAGAGAATCTGAAAGTAACTGTCTGGACTTATCCCAACCTCGGTTTCTCCTGACTAGTGGCAGGAAGTTGCTTTCATTAGCATAATTTCAGGCTTTAAAGACCCCCATGTCTGGAAGGCAAGGCTTCCAAACATGGTTGACATCAGTTGGAGGGAGTAGGGTAGGAGAATTTACATATTTTCCCTCCGACTTCCAGCAACTTAATAACTTATAGATTGAAAATATAATGATGATGTTATCCATTCAGTTGTGTCCAACTCTTGGCGATTCTATGGGCCAGGTCTCTCCGTATCTTCTGACCTGCACTGTTTCCTTGAGTTTCCTATGCTCTGGCTGGTGTCAGTTTTGATAGTGTCCAACCACCATGTTCTTCGGTGGCCAGGTTTCCTTTTATTGCTAAATTTTTCCAAACATCATTGCTTTTCCCAGTGCATTCCCCCCTAGATTGAAAATTATATTGAAAATATATTGTTACATTATTAACATCATTTTCAGTAATCATGGCCAAAGGAGCTGTCCCTGGATCTGCAGGGAATCTACCTGTGCCCACTGTATCTCCTCCTCCCCCTGCAAATCCTTTTAAGATGGCCGGTGTAACAAACTGTCCTCCATCCTCACAAACTCTGAAGTTCACATACTGACAACCATTTGTATAGTGACAGTTCAAAGTTATAACAGCATTGAAAAAAGAGACGTACAATAGGTATGTATAACCATTGCAGCATCCTTTCTGTCACAGGGTCAAAATTCAGGCACTTGGGAGTAGGCATATATTTACAAGAGTTGCAGAATCCCCGGGGGGGGGGTGTCATGTGATCGCCCTTTGCAACCTTCCCACAAACAAAGTCAATGGAGGAAGCCAGATTTCCATCATGACCGTGATTCCCTTGACTGCGGTTATTCTGGTCCCAATTGGTGATCCTAATTATGTCAAGGTCTACCTGTATTCACTCAGTGCAGCTCGCTCTGCCCAACTTCCAAGGCTGGTTCTTTTCATTTGGTGGCTGACTTAATTTTGTGGATGGCATATGGGCTGGATTCCTTGGGGATCCAAATCTCGTCTCCCACGTGGCCTCTTTCATCAGCTGCCCCTTCCAAGGCCGCAGTCAGTTCCGGCCCAAAGATGTTGGTGTTCCGGTAATTGGAGGTAAGATGGCCGAAAGAGGACTCTGAAGAGCTTTCCTCCCGATTTTCTTCATCTTGGTCATCCTGCAACTTGGTTGTCTCCAGCTGCAAGGAGTCAGTCACATCTGCTTTTTTGAAGGCCCCCTTGAGGTCACGCAAGAAGGTTGCCTTGGGGGCAAAGAAGAGGAGGAGAAGCACCAGCCCTCCAGATACCCCACAAAGGAAATAAAAGCCCACCTTTTCAGGAACACCTGCAAAGAGAGAAGGTGATGTTCAATATAGTTAGTCTGAATTCACAAACCGCTGTGAGCCAGGGCTTGTTCAACCCTCGTTTACTGAACCCATCACAGTTCCCTGGAATGTTCAGTGTTTGTCCAGGTAGAGGACCATATTTGGCTTTGTAGTAGCCTCCTGGGTCTGTAGTAGCCTCCTGGTAACTGTAGTAGCCTCCTGTAGTAGCCTCCTGGTAACTGATGAGGCCAGGAGAAAAAAATAAATTTAATTTCTCTTAAGTTGAATGAAAAATAAATATAACTAGCTTGTTTCTTCTCTACTATGTTCAACCAACAGAGTGTGGTTTTGCATGTGATGTTCACCACATCCTCTAATCCCTGAATCCTGAAAATGAAAAGTTAATAGTTTTCTGGTCTCACAGCTGGATATAAATTTGCCCTAAATTCTCAATGGTGGGAGAGAAATGAAAAAGAGTCACAGGACTAGTGGAATCCCAAAGGACTATGAAAATCTATACTACCAAAATACTTGTGTCTGTAACCTTTATCTAGGCCAAATGGTGCAGGATAGCACAAAACCCTTTTTTTTCCAATTAAAGTACCTTAAATTGGCTAACTTACAAAATACATCCAAAATCCAGGACCCCCCTGACTCCCATGGAATTGAAATTTGGCAAATTTTATAAAACGCTTTCCAACATAAAATTATTGTACAGCATGTTATAACCGAATACAAAACGTCACGAAACATTTCTTGGGGACAGCTGCTGATGTCTGATTGTGCTATATAGTTCAATGTGTGTTAATTTCAAGGCAGATACACCTCTGAATTCCTCCCAACATTTTGAAGAACTCTTCAAGTACATTGGAAGCTCTGCCATGCTAGAAGGCATGGAGGAATCTGGTTACAGGGTGTGTCGTGTGGGATGAAATTCTCTTGTCACCCCATGAACTCCTGTAGGGTCACGAATGATCACACGTACCCCAAATATGGGCTATTGTTTCCAGAGAGTTAGTAAATATCATCAGATTTTCTTGGAACCGCTTGGACAGCCTCGGCCCGGTGTACCAGCCACCTGTAGCAAATAAGGGATAGGATGGTCTTACTAAGGATGCCTCCAGTAGTAAGAGAAGAAAGTTCCTTTTCTTATCTGGATCACTTAAGGGACAAGCACAAACTCACTGGCTCATGCATCTTTCGAAGGCCACACCTACCAGATAGGGGATGGGTGACCTTTTGACCAACAAAACTTATGTCTTCTTCTGTGCCACTGGTTTCAATGGCCAAGGACTCCAGAGGGAGGAGAAATGACATCAGACAAGGAAGTGGGAGCATCTCACTGATGAGATCATCAGGTCAATAGCATCGCTGATGCAGTTTTCATGATGATGTTCTGTTGATATGATCTCATAGGAGGTTTTCCAGATGAATGTGGCCAGTAATATCCAACTTTGGTCAGGTAGAAGGTATGAGAAGGACCATGTTTCCAAAATGGGTGGAATCAGGTCCTACTGAGGGAGCAAGGAAAGTTTAAGGCAGCCATTTTGCGTCTCTACCCGTACCATCCCAACGTTCTAAACTGTGCAAAAATGGAAGATATATTTATGACTCCATTCCCACAGGCTGACTGCAGGTGACCTCAGGCAAGACACTCCGCTGTGTCTGCTCACAGTTATAACAGCCCCATTGGCACAATATGCTTCAGCTGGTTACCAGATTAATGCATTTCCGACTTGCTACACTGCATTGAATCTAATAGCCTGCAATGTACAACATGCTATGCTATCAAGAACAAAAGAGCCAAACAACCTTTTAACCAAGCTTATTATGTGGTGGGAATTCACAGTCGTTTCATTTCTCATCAGAAGCCGGCAGGAAATTATCTTGCTATTATTTGGCAATGCGCCTCCATGTTCCAGCAGCAAAATCCTGGGAAAGGATTATGTTCTAATAGAAAGGAATTATGTCAGTCCTACAGGCTGCTACAGGTTTATTATCTACGGAAATACAACAGGTCTCTTGAGGGAATGCAGTTTTCCCTTGGGGAGCCCAGCTGAAATCTCGTGCCATGGGGAAATCAGAAAAGAGCCACCGAGGGGGGAGCAGAATCCACTGGGATCTCTGTTCTCTTCAGGGCAGAGGTGCCCAGTGCAACTGAGGTGGAAGAGATGCTGGATTCAAAAGCTGGAGAGTGGATTTCACGGACGGAGAACGCTTGCTTGCATTTCTCAGGCACTTCCTGCTACCACTGAGGAAGGCCTCCCCTCAATCTCGCAGACTAAAGGTGGGGAATACGAGATCCTTCTGACCTTCTGAGTTACCGATCCCAGGATGTCTCACCCTGGTTCAATCCAACTGGTGTTGAGAGACATATCATGGCAACATCTGGAGGACATCAAGGGCTCTTAGGAAGCATCTTCCTTCCTTCCCTTGGGTTGACTTTCCAGCTTTTTCTCTAGGGCACATTTGGCACAACTGGCACTCTTCTCGCTAGGCTAGAAATTTGGGTCCCAGAATTCCCAAACAAAAGACACCCCTTTGGGAAAACCATTCCAAGGGCACCCACCCTTTTTACAGTGACTTTCTATTCTGGGTGCAAAACAGGCTGTGAAAATTTGGCCCGTTACCTGAAGATGGGATAATCTGAGGGAACCTATGGAAAAATGTAGCAAGAACATCATCCCTCCAGTTGATCCTGTTCATGTTTCCAGCCTGTGATTGGCGGGCTTCAATCAAAGATTTTTTGTGTGTCTTTCCTTTAATGTTCTATTTTTCATATCCAAGTCTTGTTTTGCCTTGGGTGGCTACTAACCAGGCTCAGTCCTTATGGAACTATTTCTTGGACAGGAGAGAGTTAAGTTCTCGTAGCAAGCTTTGGAGTTCCATCTATACACTGCTGTTCTAGTCTTTAGCAGACACATCCTGGCTTCTGGTTTCTTTGCACCCATTCCTGGCCTTCACAAGTTCAAGGACAGTCGCCTCTACACCACATGATGCAGGAGAAGATTGTCCCAAAGATATTCTATCAAAAGGCAGCTGGACTTTCTTGGATTTTTTTTTTCTTTGAAAATGTTCCTCTTCTCATTCAAGAAGCTTCTTCAGTTCAGTTCTTGGATGAGAAGTGAAACATTTTCACAGGGAAAAAAAATACCAAGAAGGTCCAGTTGCCTTTTGGAAAAGCACCGTGGGACAACCTTGACCTGGATGAATGAATGAATGAATGAATGAATGAATGAATGAATGAATGAATGAATGAATCTCCATAGATATAGGAGAAGGTTGTTGGGAGGAGGCTTCTCCCAGATACTTCTCCATCCAGAGAAGTACTGTGGATTAAAATCAAGGCGGGATAATTACCGTGGGTGTAATCTGAGATCGAGAAGGGATCTTCCCGGGATTCATGTGTCGCCTCTTCTAGCAACTGCCTTGGCACTGAAAGACAACACACAGAACTGCAGGTGATGGGAAAAGCAAACAAAAGCTTGTCTAAAAGTTATTTTCCCCAGGGGCAAAGTTAACATACATGAAAAATAGACTTTCTGAAAAGAAGCGATCGGTTATCCTAGCACTAAGAGAGAGCTGGATGTCACTAAATACTTACTTAGCCCTGGGGGATGATTATGATTCAACTCTTAGGAGGAAAAGTATCGGGCCATATAAGCTGTGGCTTTGATTTGACAAGGATTTTTTTTTTCCAGATAAAAGTAGTCCTTGACTTACGACCACAATTGATCCCAACATTTCTCTTGCTAAGCGAGACAGCTGTTAAGTGAGCTTTGCCCCATTTTACAACCTTTCTCGCTACAGTTGTTAAGTGAATCACTGCAGTTGTCAAGTAAGCAACATGGTTTGGGTTCCCCCATTGACTTGGCTTGTCAGGTCGCAAAAGGGAACCGCCTGACCCTCATACGAGCCGTCATAAATATGAGCGAGTGGCCAAGCATCCAAATTTTGATCACAGGACCATGGGGATGCTGCAACAGTTGCGAGTGTAAAAAAACCAGTCCTAAGTCACTTTTTACACTACCGTTGTAATTTTAAACGGTTGCTAAACGAATGATTGTAAGTCAAGGGCTACCTGTATGCCAAAGCTCTAAACATGTCTAACTTGGAATGGAAGAACTGATCACTTAGCTTGTTTGTTGCTTGTCCTTCCCACCCCAAATATCAGCAGGTAAATTTGTTGTTCTGCTTACCGCAAGTGTAGGACACTCTCAATTGTTTCTTCACCCCTGGGAAGCACGGATCTCCAAATGTAGCCGTGTTAGCAACAATGGTGCAGTTCCTCTTCTTGTGGCATCTCTGGGAAACTCTTCTCAAGGCATCCGGAGCTGTGCATTCTACAAATCACACACATACACAACGCAGTCAGTCCTGTTGGGGGGGTGGAGAAATGGCAGATTCTGGAGGTTTGCTCAGTTGTGGACTTTCCAAACACTTTCCCAAAGACTGACTGTCTACCAGAGTCAGTCTCAAATGGGTGATCACAAGTTTTGTTAGAGTTGAGGCACCATATTCTCTCAGATATGTATTCGATAGTCACCAGCTTGGTGTAAGGTTGGAGATGGCTTTCATTCATCGTTTACAAAATGCAGGCATGGCGTGAGCGAATCTGTTTCATGCTGTACAGATTCTCAAAGCAAAGAAACTGTTCGTCAAGAGATGTTCCAGATGTTTTGCTCAGGCGATGCTCAGGAGATCCTAGAGTTAAAATATTTGGAAGGACCAGTTCATCACACTTGGTGCCCTAGAGATGGGTTGTTCAAGTTTTTTCAGGCCATGAAGCTATTAGCTTTTTAAAAAAATAAAAAAAACAGAATCCACAAAATGTCAGGTGTGGGTTTATTTTATTTTTATTTTTGAAGGAGAACAAATCCACCCTTTTTAACAATGGATGTTCTAGATCCATTTTTCTCCTTTTTGTCTTTCATCTCTCTGGAAACCCTGCAGAATTATTTGAATAAAACCCTGCTGTAGAAAGCATTCCTGGAAAGCACCCAAGCTCCTTTAGTTTTAGTCTCACAACACAACAGTGTCATCGTGAAGTGTATTCTTTTTGACCTCAACATCTCACTTGCCCAACTTTCAACTGAAATAAGCCATAGAGGGAGAATAGAGTTGGCTACATGGAGAGCAAATTTCATGCCAATGTTGGTTTCTGCTGGATGGAGAGTCAATACTCTAACCAGGGAAAGGGCCAGAGCTGAGCAGGCAATAAACAGGCAACAAAAGGAGTTGCAAAACAAGGACACGAGAGGTTGGCATCAGCCCTTGCTAGAGTGTGCCTCTTGGCAGTTGCCAGCAATTCCAATTGTTGACTCTTTGTGTCCAGTAATGAAGCCTCAGCTCAGAACTAGCTACATCCATAGGTAGGTAAATTATTTGTTTGTTTGTTTAATTACATTTATTTGCTCCTTATCTTGCCATGGGGCTACTTTAGGTGGCTTACAATAATAAAAAGGAAGAAAAATGAAAGGAGTATAAACAGGAGTACAATAATAGAACAATAAAATAAACTATGACAAAAGAACACAATTAGAATAAATACATCGATATGATAATCAGGAAGATGGATGGGTGGCGAGCAGAAAGCAAGGGAGAGGATAGGTGGAATCTGCCATCAATCCATGTTAGAAATTCTGTTTATATATAGCACCACAGATCAAGCAAAGTGTACAGTCACCATGTGCTTTACTGCTTAACTGTTTTTCTGTAACGGGAAACAGGAAACAAAAGAACATAGATCCAAAATTGTAAACACTGCCATCTACTGACTGAATACGACTGTAGTTGTTGCACAAAAATACATTCTAACAATGAATTCCAACAATGCAGCAGCCACCTCCAGTGTGGAACTGCCCCATTTGGTCTTGCAGAAGGGTAGAAGAGATATCCAAGAGGGCAGATGAACCAGAGTTGTGTGTCTGAAGGACGTGATACTTCAAGGGATCTCTTTCCCTTATAACACCTCTACACCACCACTTTCCCTCTCCAAGCCTCAGAAGGCCTCCTTAGCATTTCAAAAGGCTGGCCATCCATCACAACTGGCTCAGCAACAACAAAGGTTCCCTCATCTCCACTTCAACTCAAAGGGGGAAAAAAATGAAAAGGAGGAGGAAAAATAGTAGTGTGGCATTTTACACACCGCCCTAGGATCAACGATAGAACTCTGATCAATTTCAGCTTTGTTTGCTTGGACTGGGCTGCTTAAAGGAAGCAACAAAACCAACCAACCACCCTCCCCCTTTCAGGACCTGGGAGATTGTCAGAGGATTTGGTGCAATGGGGAAAGGTCTCCAACCAGTTGCCATGATGGAAATACAGAGGTCCTGAGCGACCTTCCAGCTGGCACCAGATCCTGACGCGGAAGGACCCATAGACTCACCGAGTGCAGGAAATGCTTAGGATTGCCTTAGCAGATGCTGACCTATTTCAGGTTCTGTCCCGTTCATAGAATTACACTCCAACTTTCCTCGCAAAGGTCGTCCATAGACCGAAGAATAAATAGCCAGAACTGAGTTACTCCGACACTGTAGCCTCATCTTGTCATTTTCACATACAGTCTTGAGACGAAAGTTGGCTGGAAATGAAAAACAGTCATTCCTCATAGTCTCGATCCCCTCCTTGCTCCGAAATATTTTAAAATCCCTTTTCCTTTTATGAAGGCCATGTTTGAGATAAGGGACTATCAGGACAGGTTTGACTCTCAGAACAACATGCTAAAACCTGAAAAGGAATTCTTTTGAGCTGATATCAACTCTTCAAGGTTGTAAGTGCTGGATAATGTTTTGCGTAGACCCGGACAACTGCGTTTTATGCAATAATTCAACGACTAGAGTTAGTCAAACTACAATTAAGTACGATTTAGCCCCAGAGATTTTAATCAACTGGTTTTGTTTTCAGTTATATGTGTTTCCAGATAAAGCTTCAAAACCACTTCTCCTAATTTTAGATGGGATGCTTTCAACTGAAATTCAACAGGTGATTAGATAAGCCTTCTCTCTCTCTCTCTCTCTTCCATTGAATTGTGTCCAATTCTTGCACAGTGCCTGGATAAGTGAGTTTTCCTGGCAAGGTTTTTCAGAAGTGGTTGGGCACTACCTCAACTAGGGCTGAAAAAGAGGGACTGCCCCAAGGTCACCCAGCTGGCTTTGTGCCGAAAGTGGGACTAGAACTCACAGTCTCCCGGTTTTTAGACTAATGCCTTAACCACGATACCAAACTGGCTCTCTCAGATTAACTTAGTGGTGTTCCAATATCTCAGGGGCTGCCATAAAGAAGAGGGAGTCAAGCTATTCTCCAAAGCGCCTGGAGGCAGGACAAGAAGCAATGGATGGAAACCAATCAAGGAGAGAGGCAACCTAGAACTAAGGAGAAACTTCCTGACAGTGAGAACAATTAACCAGTGGAACAACCTGCCTCCAGAAGCGGTGAATGCTCCAACATTGGAAGTTTTTAAGAAGAGACTGGACAGCCATCTGTCCGAAATGGTATAGTGTTTCCTGCCTGAGCAGGGGGTTGGACTAGATGACCTTCAAGGTCCCTTCCAACTTTACTATTATTATTATTATTATTATTATTATTATTATTATTATTATTATTATTATTATTATTATTATTATTATTATTATTATTATTATTATTATTATTAAGGATGCAAGCCGTGCCACATCTTGTTATGCGAACCAATGGTCTGTTAAGGAATCTCTGAGGAATCATAGAGTGGATCCAATTATTCAGCCTTCCTCTGAGAAGTCTCTTATCTGCATCACCAGCTTTCACCCTTTTCCCCAAAGCCCTCCAGATAGATTAAACTTTTGGCCTCTACTAATGGTGTTAGAGCAGCTTTGGAGAACCTCCTGCAATTCTCCAGAAGACTGTAGGGTAGAGCTACAAGTTTTCTCCTTTTCCACATTAATGCCTTGCTGAAGTCACTCACCAGGTCTGCATTTGTAGGAAACCACCAAGTATTTGTGTGTTCCTGGGCACGGATCAGGCCCGAACACTCGGCTGTGGACAAGGAAATGGCACCATCGGTGGTCCTGGCACTCATCCATCATTTTCTGGTGGAAAAGGACATGTGTTAAGTGTAGCCATATCTAATTTAGAAAGACCATATCTA